TAACATTGAGGAACTAAAATTTTGAGAGCTAATTTTTTAAAAACTACTCATGCGATTCTTACACAACTTGGTAGTTTGGTGTAATTTGAGTCATAGACTTGGAATATGGGGGAAAAAAAATGGTATGTTATTTAAGAAAAAGTCCGATTTTGTGTCAAAATACCTATATTAGAACAATGCTATATATAAATCTAATACATATCCTAAGTCGCGCTTTCGAGAAATGAAAAACACAAGCTAAATTTGGTCAATCAACCCAGTAGAATGGGAGCTATAGAACTGGGCATCATTTATTCTTGAATGGTGAATTTCTTAATACATAACTGTAGAAGATTTAGAGGGTGCTAAACACGATAATTTTAGATATGCAATTATATTTTAAATAATGATGAATTAGTTAGCAGAGGCTGAGTGACAAGCTATCAGCATGTAGGCGAAGAGGCGAAAGAGAGAGAAACTATGCTGTTATTAGCTATTTATACAAGACAGGTGTACAAAGTACAGCTAATCTGTGATTGGTTAAATTTTGGCTGCCAATTTAATCTTTTACATATTCTTTATTTTTATTACATATTTATATATAAATTAGAGACAAAAATGTAATATATTTAGAACCAAAACAACAAGGTCATTTTGGGATATTTTTGTTGAAAAAACTTATTATATATATACACATAAAATCTGCCAAGAAGATATTAGGTAGTGTATTCTTCTGATAGACATGTACCATCTTGTAGGTTCTAATAGCTATTAGTCCACAAAAAACAATAAGAGAAATATAATTTATGGGTTTTGCCTTGATGTGGTATAAGTTAATTAGTCCAAACACTCCTAACAGACGTGAAGCAAATTATTGCTACATTAAGCATTTATTAATTCTTGTTCATTGAACAGAAGTTGGTTGATTCTTGTTCATTGAACAGGACTTTTTTTTTTTTTTTTTCCTTGAACAAGAACAAACCAAATCCTTGAACAGGAGTTGGTTTGTTCTCGTTTCAAGTAATTATCGCTATTGATTGGAAAAAGTCAATTTCCGATCAATAGCGATAATTACTTGTTTTATTCATGATTTAAATTTAAGTCCCCTTAAAAAGTTTTTTTTTTTTTTTTTTTTTTTTTTTTTTCATGATTTACATTTAAGTTCCTTTGGAACATAATTTTCGGAATTAAACTTTCTACATGTGGGTTCCCTCTTTTTGATACATTCTACTAAATTTATATTAGGAGATAATATAATCAATTATTTCTTTAATAAATAAATTACATTTAAGTATACATACAGTTGTTTCTTGGTGTTTCATAAATCATGGGACAAACGTGAGTGGTGGAACATACTAAAACATGCATTTTTTGTATAGGAATGTAGGGTTTAAAGTGACGGGTTAAGGCAGGAACGCAAAAAAAACGACACAGATGAAAAGGTGTTTATGTACAAAATCAACACAAAGTGCTTCTTTGTAGCAATACAGTATTCACAATAACTGTTCAAAAAAGGGGAACACTAACAGTAATAGGAACTACAGCTGTGATTGCCTGGCAATGCAGCGGTAGAGGGCAGTAGTGAGCCTGACAAACCACGGTCTGATGCATCAGAGGATCATTTGCAACTCTGATGTCCAGCGTGATGAGCGAGTTTACGCACAGGGAAAAAGCTGACATGCATCTCATGTATGGTGCTGCTAATGGGAATGGCAGAGCAGTGCTACGGTCGTACCAGGAACGGTTTCCGAACAGACATATGCTGAAGCACACAATGATGATCGAAAGGTTGCATCGGTCTCTGTGTGAAAACGGGTCATTTGAAGCCACCTCTGACACTAGGAGTGGAAGAAGAATTGCCCGACAACCTCACATTGAAGAATCGCATGAATCACCTCAGACAAGTACAAGAGCTATTGCACGTCGTCTGCAGCTGAGTCATTCTACCATTTGGAGAGTATTGCATGAAAATGATTTGCACCCATACCACTTGAAGAGAGTCCAAGCCTTGCAAGAGATAGATTACCCTCTCCGAGTTCATTTCTGTCATTGGTTCTTGCAGCAGTGTGCGGCGCAGGCGGATTTCCCATTGGATGTGCTATTCACGGACGAGGCAACTTTGTCACAGAACGGTATCTTCAATAGCCACAACATGCACATGTGGGCAACTCATAATCCACACGGCACATGTGGGCAACTCATAATCCACACGGGCACATGTCCATATGCATTCCAAACCCGCTTCTCCGTGAATGTGTGGACGTGTATTGTTAACGACTACCTCATAGGGCCATACCTCTTACCTGCACGTACAAATGGCTTATGTTATCATATTGTCCTGCAAGAGGTGCTACCAGAATTGCTGCAGGATGTTCCGGCTGTCATTCGAGATCGCACGTGGTTCCAGCATGATAGTGCAGCAGCCCATAACCACGTGCGGATCCGCAATTACTTAGATGGGACATTTCCGGGCTGATGGTTTAGCCGTGGTGGACCCGTTCAATGGCCACCCCATACGCCAGATTTATCCAGCTTGGATTTTTTTTTTATGGGGCCATTTGAAGAGCATCATTTACGAGACTCCTGTTAACTCACTGGAGGACCTCGTTGCATGACTATCCATTGCGACTGCAAACATGGCCGAAATGCCTGTCGTTTTTCAAAATGTTCGTCATTCCCTTCTGCGACGTTACCAAGCATGTATTACTGCTGGTGGTCACAATTTTGAACATTTATTGTGAATACTGTATTGCCACAAAGAAACACTTTGCATTGGTTTTGTGTATAAATACATTTTCCTCTCGTGTCCTTTTTTTTGCGTTCCTGCCTTAACCCGTCACTTTAGACCCTGCATTCTTATAAAAAAAATGCATGTTTAAGTACACTTCAAGTTTGTCCTATGATTTATGAAACACCTTGTATATGAATATGTATATTCAAAAGGGGTTGCTACAGAATTTACTTTCTTCACTGGTCCTAGACAGATACTTCCAATTACAAAATTCCACAAAATAAGGCATAGATTTGTATAAAAACAGTAATGGGAAATAAAATAACTTACAGATTGTTTTACTGAATAAGCAATAATTATCTAATAAGTAAGTAACAAATTGCCTGAATGAATATTACAATATAGTTTTAATAACTAGTTCACTGGACAAGTACAAAACAACTAATTAGTTTACTACTAATTTTAGCTTGGAGGATCAGTGGGTGGTTCAGTAAATATAAAATATAAATTTTTATGACTTACACAAACCAAAATTTCCAAACCATAAAATATCCACTATGCTTTACTATGCTAAATGCAGAATGCTTAATATTTTCAAGTTTAACATATATACAAGCACATATTCTCAAGTACAATCAAAATGATATTCTGATATGATGGCATTTGAACTACATAATAAATTAGGATTGATGATCTTAAATAATATTTAAACTCTATCACACATACATACTTTTCACAACCACATCTAATGAACAATATAAGGGGATTTGGAAAATAATTTAGGTACAAAAACCCATTGTGCAATGCTGAATGGCTCACAAATAATTTAAAATAAAGAATATAAAACAAAACATTCACTGCATGCAAACAACATTCTATATTATGTATAAGAAATATAGTAATCATTCATAAATTAAAAGATTTATACTCAGAATATAAAAATGAAAAATTTTACAAGAAGAGAAATTTCCATCAGTAAAAATTTCAAACTTCAACTTCAACTTTTCAATTTTCCATGGAATTACTCCATATTTGATATAAATATTTACTATATTCATATTTTCTTCAGTCAGTATTTCCACGGTAAATAAAAACATCTTATCGCAGAAACTTAAGATAACACAAATTATTATAAATCCTCCAAATAAATCTTACTGAAATAATTTGTTAACTTTTCAGTTGTTTAATAACTGATTAAGAAAGCAAAAATCTGCTGAACTCTGGAAATTTAGAATTTTTTTTGGCCAACTAAAATCAGAGTAAATTTTCAACTAAAAACAAGAGAATTTTAACTGAAATCACGACTAATAAAAATGATCAGATGTGACAAAGAATAATAAAAAATACTCCTGCCTAATACATATTCAGAAAGGTTATACGGAATAAAGAAAGAACATGTTTAGAAAGAAAGAAATTCAATGAAAGAGGAAAGTTAAACCATTTTTTTAAAAATCTCATATATATATATATATATATATATATAAAAAGTTGGTTAGCTTTGCTTATATATATATATATATATTATATATATATAAGCAAAGCTAACCAACTTTTTTTGTACATATATATAAGAATATTCAACTTCAGCATTAAGCCCTCCCAATACTAATAACATTCATCATTTTTAAAGATATTATCAATAAGAATGTTAGGAATTAATTATTTCTATAAAAATTTTTAAAATTTCCAGTAAAAAAACACAATCCTCGTCTTATAAAAAAAGTATCCGTTCTTTTAACATTTCAACATTTAAAAACATGCTATTAAATTACAAATAAAAATACATATCCCACGAAGAAATAAAACAATCTCATAGAAGAATAAGAAAATTAGCAAGCTAAAGAATCATGCAAAAAAAGAATATACAGATAACCTTAACAAAGAAAATGAAAAAAAAAAAAAAAAAAAAAAGCATCTCATAAAGCAAAACTAAAAATTTTGCAGTCAATGAAAAGTTTGTGATCTCATATTAAATATGAAACACATTAACAATTTCATAAAAAAAATCACAATATAAAAAGATGCACTTGATCTGTCAAGATCAGAAAATTACAACCCTACTTTAAACCACCAGTCAAACTGCAAGGTCAAAGCTTAATGTTTCAACTAAACACATATGGAACACATTACTAACAAAAACTAGTATGTAACTAAATCAAGCTTGGGGGAAATTAAAACCATCAACTTTTAAATTCGGATTCCGATATAAAAATAAGATACAATATGCATCCTTCTCATTATTCTATTCTTAATTATATGAATGCATCGAAAGCATTAAGAAAATTCATACCTTTGCCAGGAGATGCAGCCTCAGATTCCTTCTTTGCTGGAACTGTAGATGTAGTCATGGGTTTCATACCATGTCCATAATCAACTGATTCAACACTGACTTGAGAAAAGATAATAGGTGCACGTGGTGCCAGATTTAAATCCGAACTAAAATTATCTACAGAATAAAATAACATATCGTCACATTTACCCAGTTTTCGAACACATGTGTTCACACTGAATTTTTACGACAGCTGCAATATCATGCCAAGTAACTAAACATATCTCGAATTGTAATCATTTTTAAAAAATCACAGAAATATTCAAGTTATCAATTCTTAGAGACTCAGAATAGAATGACCCACTAACATCAGGTTTAAGTGTGGGGGAAATGGACCACAATACGAATAAAAAAAGGCAACACTATCCATCAATATCCAGTTCATAAGTTCCTTTACATAACAATAAAGATAAAGAAGCTTATAAAATGCCCATTTTCCTGCAAAATCACATATCATCATGTTTTTAAATTAAGCCAATTATATATATTCTAAGCATAGATAAAAGACTGAATCTTCAGGTCTCCTTAAAATTTTGTGCATTTTAAAGGCAAATGCATCTTGAAATTTTATAAAAGGGCTAAATATTGCAGGAAATGACTTTTTTAGCAGCTCTTAAGTCTGTGAATGTAATTTATAAGTTTGGAAAAACTTCATGTTTTTATTAATGAACCTTTTATTTGAACATTCGATAAACAAAGAGGAAAAATATTGAAATAATGAAAAGAATGAATCTTGAAGAAAGGAAAAAGTTTAAAAAGTAATTAAATAATGAAAAGAACAAAAAATCATGCAGAGAAAAGGCAAAATGATGGAAAATTTGAAAAATTTAGATTCTATTAGATTAGGAACTTTAAAGAAAATAATAATAAAACTGAATATTCATACTGTACTATCAATTATAGTAAATTTAATAATTAATGGTTAACAAATATATTTCTGATAAAAATTTAATTCTGACATAGATAGCATATTGGGAATAATTTATGAAGGGGAAAAAAATCTCAAAAGAGGAAAATTTTATGGAACAGAGATACAGGAAAAATGACTAATTCAATGATTAAATTACTTCTTGATAAAAACATTTCATGTAATGCGCCCTTTTTAATATGCCATTAATGCTGAGATATTCCTTTCATACATTTATATATGCCATTTCAGGCGTATTTTAGGGGGAAATAATAGCATAATAAATCATAAACATAATGAAAGTATTAAATATGATACTGATATAAACCCACTAAATTTTGTAAATATTCCAGCTAAGATATATGTCACTATTTAGAAAGGTTCTTGCTATTCAAAGCTCAACACATTTGTAAACACTTTTCTTCGCTCTTAAAACTTCTATGCAATTAAACAATTTTAATATACAAACTTATAATATTTCAACTTTCTCTACTGAAAATTGCAAAACTTTGAATACATTTTCATACAATCCAAATTCATACATTAAAAATACACATATCAGAAATATTCATATGCCTAATAAAAAAATAATTTTTTGAAAGACAGTCCTCATTTGCATATCTAAAATACTTTTATGCCTAACATATTAGCATTTTATTAATTTTTACAAAATAAATTTTTTATTTTCATGAATTTCCGTTTCAACAGGTAGTGCTGCAACTGTACATTCCCCATAACAGAGGTCATGAAATTGCACAGACAAGATTTCCCCCCTCCAATGGCAGGCACTCAACTGACTTCAGCTTGGCCACTACTTAGGCCAGAAGTGGTAGTCACTTTATTAAGGAGGTAGCTACCAGGTGGACTACCTTTGCCTGCTACGAAGGGACAGACAGTTACAACCATGCCTTCTCTGCGATTCGAACCCAGGCCCATTGGTATCCCAATTGGCTCCCCTAACCACTATACCACCAGAGCAGCACAGACAAGATTCTAATGCAGTACTGTTGCCAGTAATTGTGATAATGTAGAGATGATGACTATTTACAATGGAAAGCATTCAGAAAAGAAAATTTCATAAAAGGAATTGTAGTAGTACTGTAGCAACATTAGTATGAAATGAAAGCTTTGAAAGCAATAAACTGAGTCTGGTTAGTATTAATGTGTATTTTCCTTCAACTTGTAGAACTGTCTTTCCAGTGGCACTATTCTAAGCCATAATTACTCTCATCCCATGATGTAATCAATTATAAGGTTGTATTTATAACTCACCCAGAAGACGAGAATTAGTGCTAGTTTGGCTACTATGCTATACAAGATGCATTCAATTAAAGTACATCTACTCCTACAAATGGGTAATTTGTAATGTTCATTTACATGTAAATTATTACAACCACCTTATGAAAAGGTCATAAATGTTGGAAATAAAACTAATAACCTTAATAATGCATCTTAAAGCTCCTATATTATTTAGAATCATTATTTTAATCCCCATGCTCATATATGTTACTTTTCTTAAGTATGAAATTGAAATGAATATTCACATCATCTTTATTAAAGAATTATATTGTTTACAGATGAAGGTTAAGTTAAATATAGTACTGATATCATTGATTTATAAAGTTTTTCTCCCGCTTTCCTAATGTGCCTTCGTGGTTTAGTGGTTCTGCACACTGGGCCGGTATCCAGAGGTCCACAGTTCGATTCACGGCGAAGGCGAATTTTTCATCTTACCTGCTCCCCCCCCCAAAAAAAACCTAAACCTTATGTCTCTACAGTGGTGCTTGAACTAAAAGGGTGTTGCATGATGATTCTCCTCACACAGGATTTGGCGATTGGGTCCCCTAAAAACCTCAGTCGCCCTTTAAAAGGGGGAGTATATAAGGTATTTCTCCCGCCTCCCTAGCATGGCTTCATGGTGCAGTGGTTCTGCATGCTGGGTCGGTATTCCAGAGGTCCGTGGTTCGATTCCCTGCAAAGGCGGTTGCTAATTTTTCATCTTGCCTGCTTCCAAAAAAATATCTAATGTCTCTATAGCTTTAAGGGTTCAGTTTAAAGAAAACCCTAAATGAGTGCATTTTTTAGGTTAGTGAAAGAAATCTGAAGACAGTTGTCAAATTTACCAAAAAGAAAAAAGAAAAATATTGTTCAGTGTTTGTTTTGTGTTCTCGCACGAACACACATATATATGCCTCGACATAAACTAGAGACAGTAATCTGAAGAGTACAAATGGCAATACCTTATTAAGAAATTATTTCTGGTCTATTTTCTCTCTTTTATACCCTTCGGTTTATATCTCTCACTAATAAGTTTCAAACAACTAACTGAGCTTAATTCATCATCATAACTGGCACCATCTCTAAGCCTTCTACACTCATTCAGGGCTGGATTCACCATTAAGCAATAAAAGCACATGCTTAGGGCATCAAGGAAAAGAGGTAAATTTTCTATTGCCAGTTTTACCATGGAATGTATGACATAGCTAAAGCCAGACAAAGATGGAAAGAAGAAAAAATTGCCACAAATATATGAGGGGACATCAAAATCTTCCTGCACTCCCTCACCGACTTTCCAAAATACAATCATTATTCAAATTTTAGAAGTAAAATACTCTGTACATGTGTTATTTCTGCTTTGAACATATAACATTAAAAGAAAGAATCAAATATTAAGTTTTGGAGTTGTTCAGTATGCTTTTATATTTTTTCTGGAATGCTAGCTGTTTCTTTGCTTTATTTCTTTGCTCACAAAAAGCTTCACAGAAATACTCAACTTCTGCAAAACAATAGATATCGCTACTGAAAAGAGATTTATTATATGTAAAAGCATTTGCACTTCAAATTCTTATTAATATTTTTAACAGTTTCACACTTCTGGCTTTAAGCCATTGTGTGGATACAATGATAAATATAAGATAAATATTTAATAACAGCAACAACCAAAAAAAGTGGAATAAGAGAAAAGAATAAAAGCTGATTTTAAGCTGAATAAAATGTTGTAAATCATTTATTTATTTATTAATATTTATAAAGGAGGAAGAGATGGTAAACAACTTATCAATACTATTTATAGATGATGACATTACTGCTAAAATACACATATCCTGACAATGAAAAAAATCCATGATTCAATTTGAATATTAAAAGTTATTTCATAAACAACCATTGCAATTATTAACAATTAACTTGGCCTCTTTATTAAGAATATTTTTCATTATTAGGAATATATCTTATAATTAAAGTTTAACTTAACACATCAAATGAGATTATTTTCTAATTTATATTTAAGAAGGAGAAAAGGAAAACTAAAATGCTTTAAAATTCATTGCATATAACCACCAACAGAAACATGTTAGGATACTTTTATGAAAGTCAAATGGTTTTAGCATGAAAATCATGCTCAGTTTGCATCAGTGTTATGACCAGTATATTAGGATAAATTAAGTGTCGCTATAGTGTTAATTAGTTACGGTAGCAAATTACTGCAAACTTTATATAACCAAACCACAACTAGTAATAAAGTATCAGATATTTTTCATTATAGAACAAATTACGGCAAACAGTTTTTTTAGACAGAAATGAACGTGTGAATATTGTATATTAGCCATCAATAAATTAAAGGCTTTGTTCTTATATCTTATAGCAGTGTTTTCATTGTCAGTTACTGCATGATACCAAAAATGACTTCCATTTTTGTCTTTGAAGCATCACTTCATAACTGGTTTAGCATTTTGTAATTCCTCGGTCCAATTTGGCTGACGAGGATGCATTTTGTCACTCACCTCAAAATCATTGTCTTAGAATCATCAAAACCAATCTCTGCATGCTATGTCAGAAACAAGCATGTATGGAGAACTTGTTTCTGACATAGCATGTTCTCCATACACTTAGATTAGTAAATTATGACTTTCCACAGCAGATTTCTTGAGATGAAAGAAAAAGAGTAATATTTCTCACAAATGCTGTTTTGTAGGTACAAACCCAACATGTTCGAGGCAATAAATATGTATGTTCTTTTCACTCCACTCAAAAGTCACACAAAGATGTCAAAGCCTAATGTTTCTACCGTTAAATACTCATATTGCTATCTGCTATGATCAGTGGCGTAACTAGAACTCTTGGGCCCTTATGCAAAAATATTTCTTGGGCCCATATAATAAATTATGGCTCAATGTGTCGGCTCAACATGTTAGCCGGACTCAACGTGTTA